TATTGGTTTCTTTGAATTATTTCTGACAGTTAAATATATTTTTTCTAATCATAATGTTTTTAGAACTTATATTACATTTTTTATCGTATTTTTAAAACATTTTAATAAATGTTCAACACAGAACTTCAGACAATAAAAAGTTAAAACTTCACTGATAACATTGTTTAGTCATGAATATCAACCTAACTGCATATTTATTTACCATTATATAATATCCTCGGTTGTACTTCATATCAAATCATGAGAAAATTTAATGCATATTGAATTTTCGAATTTTCAATTTCGTCAATAAAAGTTTTGATCTACATTCGTGCATTCAAATAAATGCGAAGAAAATCATGTCACACGTATTATATAATTTTAGATCTGCAGTAATAACATGATAATAAGAATAACACGGAATATTGGCATTTACTAGTGGTCAGATGGTAATGCGATACATGTTTATTGTTTTGTGGATGTAGCGTAATTTTGTGATTTGTATATTTATTTTTTTCAATAACATCTTTCGAATAATTGTTGTTATGTAAAATATTAGTAAAAACCTTTCTATTTTTATTGTGAAAAAGGTTGTCTGATAGTAAAAAAGCTCAAAATATCAATCAAATTGTTCATTATGTTTTTCCTTCGATAAAAAGTTTATCAAGCGGACAGACGCTGTCTGTTTTTGGTATCAATCATATTATTTTTGTGCCTTTTTTTATAACTGTCACATCTAAAAAGTTTAATTTTTCTTCTTCTAAATCCATTTCCGAAGGGAATTTAAAATTTCTATCGTAATCATTAAAAACCTGCAGACTACCTCGATTTGATGTTTCTTAATTATTAGAAATGTATTGTTAACGTATCTAACGTGTAATTTGGGAATGCATTTATGATATTCTTTCTAGTTAAACACTCTTTCTTAAGTTCATCCATTACAATGTTAGCAAAGAGTGAAGAGATCGGTGAACATATAGGCGTGCCCTTCAGCTGTTTTGTAATATCGCCCATCAAATATGAAATAAGTGTTGTAATAGAAAAACTTTGCACAAATAATTAGATCATTCAATGGGATTTTGCAATCTTGTCTAATCTAGTCCAATCTATGGTCGAAATTTCTCATAACCAAATTGCATAGCACATTTGTAAACAGTGATATGACATCCAATGACAATAGTATACCATCAGGTTTTAATATTACATCGGCAAGTTTGTGAACAAATTCGTGACTGTTGTTTGATGGGGAATAGTAGGTTTATTCCTTTTTTTCAATTCACGATATATGATTTTAGCTAGTAGGTGAAACAAAGTATTCACTAAGGAGATAATTGGACGTACTAGCATTAATAAGAAAGATGAGATTAGAGAATTGAGTAACACATATATTCCGCTAATCCCATTATTGAGAATAGAAGGTAAGGAGTAGATAATGTGCTGATTGTAAATTAGCTAGTTGACAAGCTCATTCTGAGATGACAAGACAGTTTTAAAACATTTGCACTAAACTATGTACGTTAATATTAGTGTATTTTGTTAATGTTTTTATTTGTTGATTTGCTGTTTATTTTAATTACGATTTTGTTGTACTTTAATAAAGTGTTTTTGGTGAGATCGAAAAATTTTATCAATAACACGTCAAATAAAATATAACGTATTAGCCTACAGAGATCGAGTATATGATTTATTTTACACAAGATTTTTTTTTACATGTATATTAAATGACGATTGTTAATATAAGTAATATAATCAACAATTGCGTTTAAAATTGAAAGTTATTCGTTACCTTTAAGCATTTAGCAGCTTTGTAATTGAGAACATGATAATTTGATGGTATATAGTTATCGCACTTGCCATTGAACTAGTTTTATTGGTACTTTTAAGTCTAATTAAATTATACTTGATTGACAATGGTATTTTTATTATTTTATGAAATATTTGTTTATTTGACTAAAATTTTTGAACAAATTGGTCAAATCTATGTTTTTTTATGAAGTACCACGGTTATACTTTATTAGCTAACTGTAGGGCTAACATCTTTATTCGCTATTGAGATTTGATCCGTAACAGTACCTTTCATTTCCTGCTCATTTCCTTTCTGTTACTTTTGAATTAGATCGAAAAATGTCATATTATTGATAAACGATAATTGTTTAATAATTTCGAATTTCAAACAAATCTGATTCGAGGTAAACTACAAAAAAGCAAATAAAATAACTTATAAGTAATTACCTTTTATGAACACATGGACTCAAAAAACATACTTAAACGCTCCTGGACAATCCGTGACGGAATTACATATCAAGCAAGACGTAAATAATAATTTTGGAATTGGTATTTGATTAGTGTAAGCGATAAGGAAAGAATAGAAGTGTTACGTTGAAAATAGAAGTTCTATAGCAAATTACAAAGATTTATAAAGCATGCATGTGCACGAAGGAGAGGCTCTAAAAATCTGATGCTTTTGTCCTTGTCGCTAAGGGCCTCACTTCTTATACTCTCAGCGTTCAATATTCATTCCCACGGTTTTCCTCTACTTTATGGCTTTTCCGAGATCAGCTCAAGCCCATAACACGTGCTCATAAACTGCACATACACTCGCTTGAAAACACTTGGCACCCATTCGCGCCTTCTACGCCTTACGTTATTTACATGAAACCTCGCACAATTAAAAAATCGATTTTAGTAAAAAGTTATAAAAGTTATAATAGAAGTGTAAAGACTCAATCTAATATCTCAAAAATTCCAAAACCAAATAAGCTGTACAACATACGTAGTTCATTGTTTTAATAAGCAATATCTACCTAATTTAAAATCAATTTAATTACATTTACTCCTCTTATCGTAAAAACGAAATAAGTCTATTATTAGACAAAAAATGTTTGCGGGAACTACTCTATATAGTCTATATATAATTACATAAAATTTGAAGAATATTTTACTGATAACGAGGCGTCTGTAGTAAAAGTTTTAAAAAATTTCATGCAACAATTTTCAAAATATAAATTTCTTTAGATTATGTTTTTGATATAATTATGAACGAAAGTAGCTAGAGTGACGATTATTTTGTTTAAATTAAAAATAAAATAAAATAGTATAAATTTTCGTTATAAGATATTACAAAGTTCACGGACGAAAAATTGTTTTGAACCAAAATTAAAAAGTTGAAAATGTCATATTATTTGAATTTGCCCTTTATTATGTAAAAACATATCGAATGTTACCGTACCCGGTAAATCTTGAAACATAAAACTCAAGTTCTTACCAACTGCATACCTATATAATACATACAATCACTTACGTATATACAAACATTTTCTAAAAAAATTTGTCACTAAGACAAAGCTTTCTGAAGGAGAAAGCAATCGGTAATGCCAGCATGATAAATATATTTATTTTCCAATTCTCATAGTGTTTTTACACACCAATGACGTGCGCTTATGTAAAAAATAATTTATGCAAGATGTTATAATGGAATAGTGCAACATTCGGAATATAAATTTGATTTACTTGAGAATAAAAACGCGTACTACTGAGATACAATATAACTCGTCGATAGCTCTTAGTTAGCTGAACCAGCTAATGTAGAGGTCGCATACGCTAAGCTCCGTTGTTTTTGGAAAAAACGTAGAATGATGGAAGAAAAGTCAAGGACAGGTGTCAACTAGCGAGTCACAGCGGACTGCAATAGAAAAAAGTGCAGTCACACTAATATCCGAAGAGCCGTCAAATGCCATGTGTTTTTCGTATAATTGCGAATTTAAGTAGACTATAAAATTGCTGAAAATACTTGAATATGAGAGTTGCCCTTGTCGCGTTGATACTTGTTTCCTTTTAAAATTATATATTGATTGGGTTAGACGAAGCGTGTAACACATTCGAAGCGAGTAACGAAACCGTGAGTATAACAAAAAATGGCGTAGATAAAATAGAAATAAATTAAGCAAAATTCTTGGTACTGACACATAGTTTATCAAAAGAGTATTTAATAAATTCTCTTTTACTATAATTCTGTCGGGAAAAAATACGCAATTATAATATATTCTGTTGCAAATAAAGTTCCATTTGTTCAATAATAAATTTTGTAATAATGGAAAAAAGGGAAATAGTGAGAGATGGAAAATTCACTTAATTTTAATTATATTCAGCAACGTTTCGTCAGCACATTTGCTGATCTCTAGACACATAGAAGAATTCTCTCACACGAATTTGACTGGGACAAAGCTAAGATATTGGATTATGAAAATAATTACAAGAAACGCAAAATATCCGAAATGTTGCACATCGGCTTACATAAAAACACTAAATAGAAAAGAGGATATACAATATCTTAGTCATATTTATAAACCTTTATTAAGATCGATGAGGAAGGGATGATAGATGAAGAATATATATATGTGTGTTGAAATACTTGATTTCTTACCTTATTGTAACATGACTGGCTACGAGCTGTTCGTTTTAGCCAATAATAATTTGACTACGAGAGAAATCAAGTACACGCATATACATATAATTTGCCTTTAAAAATTACATTTGAAACTTTATTGTTAATAATTTGTTGTTTTTCTGTTAATAAAGCCTTAAGAGGTCAGCAAATGTGCTGACGAAACGTTGCTGAATATAATTAAAATTAAGAGAATTTTCCATCTCTCACTATTTCCCTTTTTTTCATTATTACAAAATTTATTATTGAAGAAAACTATAAGGGAATCAAGACAGTATGTTACGTATTAAAGTTCCATTTGCTTGCAATGTAGAACAATAACAATAAAATGTACCGCGAAATAGAAGAGCTTTGCGAAATTCGAAACAGACTTTATACGTGTCTACTTATTTAGATAAAAAAAAATCTTGTTATCTTCTATATCTGCAGTAGTCAAATGGTCAATTGACGTTAATACAAACGCTAATTCAAGCGAAATGACGCGATAAGCGCTAGGAGTGAAAACAGAATGAAGCTTGGTCGTTCAAAGACCGCCGTAGCTACAAAACTGTGATTAGATATGTATTATCTGTTTAAGCTTGACGAGAGACGAAGGCATACGGAGTGGACTAGTGAAGCGTAAAAACGAAGAGCGAGAGAGACAGAAGAGGTGACTGAGTGAAAAAGAAGGAGAAGGGAGAGAAAGCACAGAGGGACAAGGCAGAAAAGTGATTCTAGTGCGGTCAGTCATAGTGTAGAAGCAGGGCGCACATGCTGAGCAGACGAAGAGTGAGGACCGTAGTAGTAGTCGTAGTAAGAAGACAGCGACAGAACTGCCGCCACCACCGTTGCAGTAATGAGGCCCTGGACGAGCAGGACTATCGTGCTGGGCAGTATAGGGCTCACCCTCTTGCTCGTCGGCGCTGCCGTTTACTTACTCAGAAATATCCTTTTTCACGCCGTTATACGTAGCGTAAGTATCCTCTTTTTCGCTTATGCCACTCTTATCTTCGTTTCGGCTCATTAATAATTCTATATTCGACGGTCTTCCGTATCACCTTCTGCTATCGACAATCATTTATAAACAAATCGGTTGATTGGTGAATATTTATCACATATGATTATTATCACGTTCACGTATTTATTTATCTGCGTTACACCAACAAAAATATAGTTACAGTTACTATATGTAATACAGTGGAAAATCGGTCTAACTGTAACAAATTTCTTATTTTTTAGCTGTTGGTGTTGCTACGTAGACTGTAGTATCTATCACTATTAAAAAAATAAAAATGGTTATAATATTTAATTATTCCAATATAATCGGACAAAAATTGTTACTAAAATTAAAAGACATAGTATAAATTAGTATATCTCAATAACTATTAAAGAATTTGATCTTACTATACTATTTCAATATATTCAACAATATTATAGTATAGTGCATTATATATTTATTATCGTTTGCTATTTTCCACTTTACTATTCAACATAGTCAAATTAAGTACTGCCATTTTTATTCATATATTGACACTATCGCGCGACTCTGATAATATGACATTTTACTGAGATGAAGAATAGTTTTGAAAACATTTTTACTTGAGATAACAACACTTCTCTAGCTGTACAATAACCTCAGCTATTCATGGAATTGTCTTGATTTAACGATTTTTTAAATAATTTTTCGCAAAATATTTTAATTATTGATTCATTCACTCATATTTAACCGTCAATTATTGCAATATAAATTATTATACTATGAATTTAGCCATTTTCATTCGGAACTCGAGAAATAATTCAAATTACTTAGGAATTAAATCATATATAATATCATAAATTATGAGTTCGATACACTGATTTAGAATTGATAATATATATCCATAAGAATTACAATAATAATTATCGTACAAGCATATGTGTAATTATAACTATGTTGTAGGCATTAACATTATCACCAAATTCAGGGAGTTACAAATTGTGGGAAGATACAGAATCGATGCAAACGCATATGGATATTTACTTTTTCAATTGGACCAATCCCGATGATCTGATGGACCCTACCAAAAAACCAATCTTAGTGGAGCTGGGCCCATACAGTTTTAGGTACAGAAGCTTTCTTATTCATTCGTAATTCTTTAAGGACATACAAAATTCGTACATCTTTGAAAAGTTTATATTTTTCAAATTCCTCTGTACGTGCATTTGTATGATTGGCGATATTCAATAAGTCTGAAAATTTTTATTTCTATTTTTGTTCACATTTGATTTTCATTAATTAATTTACTTATTGCAACTAGCTCTAACGTGTCAATTACTTACATTACTTAAAATCTCCACTTTATTCATAATTCCGTATGAAAAAATCGTTGAAAAATTTTATGGGCTTTTATAATTAACGAAAACGTCGCGTGCAGCTGCAATGAAAAACTCATTTCCATGATAATTTTACAATTGAAGCAGTTGCTTCAAAAGAGGTCAGATAGTAGTGATGACTTTCTAGTTCAACTATGCACATGGCAAATGCTAGATCTCGATTGCTGTTTGCTATAAAAAGTGCAAAATTGTTGTATATTTCATAAAATTTTAAATTATAATAATGATGACAGTTATATTGTATTCAAGTAAAAATCAATCATTACGAGATATCTTTGTGATATTAGATATCAATGTTACGAAACTTGACAGACTAGTGGCTAAAAAATCTATTATAGCTATATAAGAGTATAAAACCACAAACTTTTATGCAAGTAATAATTTATCACATCGAGTACAGTATGAGTGAATGTAAATGTTCTTTATAAGATGATGTTTGATATCTAGAATTAAAAAGAAAGATTAGATTATAATAATGTCGAACAAATTATAAAGATAAAACAAACTGTGTTATCTGCTAAAAATGTAATATAATGTTCTCATTAAGATTCCGACTATATTATGTATGTTAAATGATATTTTCAATCTAAAGCAAAATGCATTACGGAACTTCGTCAGTTCAACATTAAAATATAAAGCTGTTCTTGGGAGTTCATCTGTACTTAGAACTAACCGAATTATCCTTAATCGAGCGTTAATAAAAGTTCGTTACCAGTAATAATTAAATTAAAAAAAAACTGGAGCGGTCGGTATTGACTCTATTATAGATAATAAAATGAATCAGAGAAGTCTCGCTAGACATTCGCGATCGACTGTATTATCATTTTGTTACACGATAGCACTATTTTCAAATTTCTTAATTTTGTTATTATTATCATAGAAAATCTGATCGAATTTCATACACAATCTTACCCTATATCTAAGTATGTTTGAAGATTTATTTTTCATCTTCATTTTAATAACTTACTGTTGCTCGATTATTAGCGGTATGCATTATATATGAAGTTCATAAAATATAATTAATTTTTGCATCTCATTTATTATAAAAACAGCAGAAACAATTTGGACGAATTGACAATTTTATAGCAATATCATTGTTGTTAAGCCCGAGAAATTTTCTATACAATTTGTCATTCTCTTCAAGCAGTAATAGAATATATTTTAAATGATTAAAAAATGTATTATTACTGAAGAAATAATCATAAGTTAAATAACTCTGAAAAATATGATTATAGATTCAAATAATAGTAACATTTTGTTTCTTGGTATTACGTTGCTTTATAAAATAAGTGAATGAGTTCCTAAGGAAAAACATTAATATCTATATTCATTTCTCAGTTGAGTGGTCTATAAAACAATCAATATCTTTGCATATTTCAGTTTATTTTCTTTATTTTTTACAAACTTATTAGATTGACTCTTTATCTTACTTGTAATTAAAATATTTTAGTGCTGGTGTACTAACATATATTGTTCTAAATTTAACAATCATAATTGATAAAAATATAATGATAACAGTGTCGGAGCAACTAATATCAATATTTATTTTTTTTATCAGTATTTACGTCTATAGATAAGGGTTTGTCTAAATTTACAAAGCGAATCAACGATAAAATACATTAAGTTTAGTCAGGAATCAAAAGTAATAGAAGAATTTGATGTGGCCGAAGCAATTAAAAAGAAATATATTATCTCTTTAATACAGCTTTTGATATGAGTTATGGTCAATTACAGCGAGCTTTAGTATAAATACTTTAGATATATACAAGTCTAACAATTCTTAATTTCAAATTATATATTTCTAATGCGAAAATATAATCATAATTACAGTCTAAGGTGTATCTCGACACTGTGAACGTTTGATTGGTAATTGTCACGTCAATCTTAATTCTAGAATGTAGGTCGGACTGTTATTATTATCAATCACGCAATGTATTAAAGATAACAATACTATTAGCACGTTATTTTCAATACCAACAATAGTATTTTTGGTCATTTCTTGCATGTATATACTGTACATATAATATCGCTTCAATGATCGTTTATAACTGTTACTTTTTGTTATTGTTTTTAGAATGGGTCGTAGAATAATTATTGTACAGAAGCTATAATAACGAACAAATACATAAGCATTACCTACTTTTTCAATAAACCTATACTTTTACAGAGAAAGGAGGCAGAAAGTTAACGTAACATTCCATCCAGAAAATAGTACAGTCAGTTATTTACAGAAACGAACATGGTTGTTTGATAGTTCCAGAAGTAATGGCTCGTTAGAAGACAAAATTTTACAACTGAACGTTGTGGCGGTGGTAAGATAAAACTTATTAAAAACTAAGATTCATATGAAAGTATTTTAGTTATTTATTCATTTATTTATACGTTTTTAGTCAGCAGCTCATAAAATTCGATATTGGCAAACTATGATACAACAAAGTTTATCATATTTACTTAATCAATTTTCGAACAAAATTTATATCGTAAAAACAGTCGACGAACTTCTCTTTACGGGCTTTGAAGATAAAATTATTACTATGGGGAAGATGTCCGGATTGGATGAGGATTCTCCGCCATTTGATAAATTTGGATGGTTTTATATGGTTTGTTAAATAATTGTTATAATCATATTTACTATAGCCATTCCATTATGCCTGCGCGTAATCATTGTTATACGCATTGATGTATGATGATTTTTAGAAGTGTAATTAATTAATTTCAATCAACATTTTTTCACGTCAATTTACAATACGTAAAACACATTTGTAAGTTTTGAAAAGATTATACCTTAATTATCAACGAAGATTTGATAATAATTGAGACAAGGCTAAAAAAAGTTCAATGTCTTAAATGGTTTTGATGACTCTTCAGACGAGCGAACGAGAATTACTCAAAGGGCACTCGTCAGTGCTTGCTTTAAATTGACGTTGAATAGCTTTAGTCGCGTGTGTATTATCGATAAATATAAATAACTTCAATAAAAGACAATCCGTAATAATGTATTCTTAAGAATTTCAAAGTTGAAATGAATACTATTAATCATTGAATAGGTAGACATGCGAATATTTATTATTTACTATTTAAATAGACTCTAGAAAACTATTATTTATTTACAGAGGAATGGATCCACTGATTTTGATGGTTACAGCAACGTTGCTACTGGCGAAGATGATATTTCTAAACTAGGATCTTTAATGAATTGGAATTACAAAGATACAACGAAATTTTTCAGTACCCCTTGTAATGTGATAGAAGGAAGTGCCGGAGAGTTTTGGCCGCCATATAGAAATAAAGATGATATTCGTCTTTTTACACCAGACATCTGCAGGTAATAATTTTAAGTGATGATATGAGTCAGTAGCCGAATTAGCTACTTGCATACACTAAATCTATAATCAAGTGAAAGAACGATCTCACTCTGATCTACGTAATTACTAACTGTTAACAAATAGCAATTGCCAAATATGCCTGTATATCCATTGTAATGATTTCTTATTTACATCAATGAAAAATTATCATAGTAAATTACATATAAAATAATTTAACTAAATTGAAATTGTGATGTAATTTGATCACAAATCACATTATGATTATTAATGTAATAATATGATCTCGTCATTATATAATCGTATTATTCCGATTCACAGACCGGTTACCTTCGAATATGAACAGACTGTCACTAACAAAGGCATAGAAGGTTACAAGTTTTCAATGGGTAAGACAACTCTCAGCAATAATACCAGGCGACAGTACCCGCACGAGCAGGCCAAATATTTTACGCCGACAACTACTACGGAAGATTTCTTTAATGCCGATCTAACAACTGTGAGGCCAGAAAACGAGAATGAAGATCCAGATGTGGTGAATGAGGGCCAGTGCTTTTGCAATGGTGAATGTTCACCATCGGGTATTATCAACGTAACATCGTGTCGCTACGGGGCTCCAGGCTTCATAAGTTTGCCTCATTTTCATAAAGGCGATCCTGTTCTCAGAGATCAATTTATTGGATTGAATCCTAAAGAAGAAAGCCATAGCTTTTACTTGACTTTGGAGCCGGTAAGTTTTTTCTGTTGAATGGCTATATGAACAAATATAACGAAGTAACATGAAAATGATTCATCACTAACATAGAATATATTGAAATTTTTATTCACATCAAATAGACATTAAATTAAACAGATATGAGAATTTTATCGCAGACCGTTTGTAATGCTGCCCTTGCACATTGCACTTTGTAAAAGGCTTAGCCTTGACTTTTAGCACGTAAACATTTTAGCATTGAAATATAAAATGCGTCAAGCATACACTTGTAATTAAAAAAGTAACTAAAAATTAAAAATATACATCTAATTGTGTAACACTATTTAATCTAAACATTTTTCATATAAGTAATTTATTATTGAATTAAGACAAAAGAGACATTAGATTTTTTCATAATGCATATAAAGAGCTTGAGGGTGCTTAACATACAGTTTGTCATTAATACTGTGCCCACTTTGTTGCGAACTATTTTTGAAAACGATTTAAATTTTCTTCTAGACGACTGGCATTCCAATAGACGTAGCGGCTAGACTTCAAATTAATATTTTAATGCAACCATCAAAAACTGTAGCGTAAGTATTTAATATATATCTATATTTTTTAAATTAATTAGTCATTTTTTATTAAATTCGTTTTAAGTACGAATTTAATAAAAATTTATATTTGTTAGATATTATAGATCTTCAATATAATTCGATTATGCGTTAATTCTCTATATTCTAAGATGTGTTTTGTTATAAACAAATTATTTATTGTTCCAGATTATTTAAGGATGTTCCTACTCTATACTTTCCAATGTTCTGGTTCGATGTTAGAGCTGGAATACCTGATGATATGGTTGACAGTTTTAAAATACTTCTAAATTTGCCGAATATTTTAATGTATATCGGACTAGTATTTATGTTTGTTGGTTCTCTTGTCCTATTTTGCGTTGCAATTATGGGCTACATCAGCAATCGCCGTCGACTCTTACAAGTAAGAATTATGTTTATTATTCGCCAAACATACATAGCTTTTCATAATTAATTCTGCCTAAAAATTGATTATAAAATAAATTAATCTATTTTTAATTCCAATATCATAACTACTTAATCGATAGTAGCTTCTTTTTTTGGTAATATTAAACTTCGATAATAAAAAACTTTTTTCGCTTATTTATTTAATAACAGAAATGAAAAACTTTAGTTTGAGCAAGTAAATTTTAAGAAAAATATTATAGCTCGGCTTGTCATTTTATACTTTTATTCTTTATACAGGTATTCATATAATTAATTGGTATTACATATAATAAACATTTTCAGATTAAAGCTGACAAGTCTGATACTCTTGGAAAAAAAACAGAAATGGTATACATGGATAAAACAGGAGTCAGCGAGGATGCCCAAACCAGAGCTGATCGTCGGTTGTTTCCGTATCCGAAAATCTAGTGTATTGCTAGTATTTTAACTTGGTTTGTTAATTTTTTGGAGAAAGACAATACTTTTTAATACAAATTTTATATGCGATAAAAGATTTATAAACGAAGCAAAAATAAGCGTTTACGTGTAACGTTCTGTCTCAAATGTAAGTGTAGTGACATTGAAATTATGTATTAAGCTTACGAGCTATGAACTGCAATTTCTGATACATTCAAATATAGTCGTACATTTACTGTTGTTACAGATACGCTATTTTATTGTTTTGAGCTAAAAGCTGAAACGAGTACCGAATTAGTTTAGACAAAATATAATTTAACTTACTTTGTATTGTAATGCTTTAGTTCTTAAATTGAAGTTATGATATGATTCTATATAAATTTTTAAATCATGACAATTTTGAAATATATAAATTCGATTAATTATAATCAGACATTTTATAATTAAGTTATTAAGGAAGTAAAATACTCTGACGAAAGTTACGTGTGAATCATTGTTCCACTTACATCAATTTGATGTAGTATGTAACTATTTGTAATAGTTAAGGAAGAGCCTAATTTTTATTTACAGAAGATCAATAAGAAAAGTGATACTATAAATAGTTTTTCAGTAAGAAAACTTTAATATCCGTGGACCAAGTGTTACTCGAGTATTGTATTTTTACAAATACTACGAAATATATAAGAATATGAATGCTGATATGTGAGTCAATTAGTGTAAAAATAATTTTAGTTTGATTAATTACATTTTTTATTTTCATAAGTTGTTCATTGAATGACGAAAATATGGACTAATGATGGACCTTAGTTATGTTGAAATCATGTTGAAATATTTACGACTTGAAGGACACTGTAATACCGCGTAAAACCTTGCTTGCAGAGATTTTCAATTCTTATGCTGAAAGTACTGTCACATATAAAATATTTCACGTACAACTTATAATATCTTAGTAAAATAGTTGAATGATAAAAGAATACAATTCTCTAAAAACAGTAACAAGTTACAGTGGCATTTAATCGTAAACATTACAACATTCATGGAAGAATATTGTTTGGTTATTTATAGTTTGTCTCTTATGTTAATTTTGATGTTTTTAAGCACAGTTTCTATTGTACGAATCGGAAAGTTTATTGTATTGAAATATTTGGCAATGCCACTTAACAGATCTTGAAGGATATATCAATTTCCTGTGTGACAACTGTTTCGAGAAGTTAATCGTGCCTTGAATTTTGATAAAGAGTCGAGGTCAATAAGGTATATGATTTCAATATGAGTGACTTGTAACATATTGTGCCGTGCCACACAATGCCATTTATAATATTAAACAATTTTGGCAAGTTTTATAAAATTTAATCGTTAATTTTATAAAAATATTAAAAAAATGAAATACTAGGCATGCTTGAACAGGTTCTTATTACCTATTGATTTGATTGCCATGTCATGTATGAAAATGTTGACGTCAAAACTGGCAACTACAGAAATTCCTTTGTTTAAATTTTTATCCAACTATATCGATTACATAATAAAGTGTTGCCAATGTCTACCATTTGATATTGAAAAATATCATTAATTCTTTCTTGAATTGCTGAAAAGATTAACAATATTTAATAATTCAATTTAATATCGATAGTTTATAACAGTTTACTGCAATTCAAACTTTACGTGGTGATATTAATTTTTATAATCAGAAAATTTTTTATATTCTTTAATCGACTTGATATCGAATGTTAGCCATCAAATTTTATTAAATATCTGAATCGTCTGAATACATTAAATCAATATCTTAAATAACCTTGGATATGCATTTCCCAATAAAAAATTATTCAATGAAACAGAATTATATCTTTTAGAAAATTTATATGAATTATTCTTTGTATAAGATTTTGTATTTCTTATAATAAAAAATATTTTTAATTAATGATGAAGTTATTTATTTTTTATCTTATCGCATGTCTTTGATCTGTGATATTACATTTTCAAAATTACATCATACATTTATATATGTATAACATTACATACAATTAGATAAAAGATAGAAGTTCCCAATGACATAAAAAAATTATAACGTACGTATGATCTATAGCAAATTTATTGAACTTAATGCAGTGTCATTAGTGATTCACTAGTCCGCTTAGAATTTGAAAGCATATCGGATAAAAATGTATTTAGATAATAAATCATAATTTGAAGGTTTCAAATGAAAATACTTAATCTTTCGATAGTTTTATTTAGATATATTTATGGTATAACTCGGTAGATTTAAAATAACTGTCCATGAATTTAATTATACACCGAGGCTAAATCAACACAGAAATTAAAAAGAAAATTACTGTTCATGCTAATACCTTCTTTTAAAAATAAAGTTTACTATTTGTATCATTGAAAAAGATGATGAATTGATTATCAGTTTTCATTTGAAATTAAATTAATTTGTCTTTTTTGCGGCAGATATAATTAAATCTCGCTCGAAACCTTCACTTCGTTTTTCTTGAGTATCAGTAAGGCATAAAAGAATGTTATACAGGGGAAATATGATTTGTTTTTGAATAAACCTATTGCGTAAATTTAGATATAGTCTTGGTTATAATTATACAGAGGAAAACGGTGTACATTTCTTCTTAGGGCTATTGAAGAAGAATTCTCTTCTTACAAGAATGAGATATTTTCAGTTTATAGTATATTTCAATTAGCATCGTGCAAACAAACTTATCAAATAATGTCCGAAAAACTTAAAAGAACAATTTCTCTTGATGTGATCAATAAATTATAATTTTTAATGTACGATCAAGCATTAGCAAGCAATACCTCATACTAAAATTTGACTGAGTGTACTTGGTTAACCAAGATTCGACCTTAGGAGTAGCTATGCTTCATCGTAAGTTTTTACATAAATTTTCACGCTTAAACCGCAGTTGGTCATTGATCGATCAAGCATGGATCGATTTTATTCCATTGGGGTTACTAATATAATTTCTGGTAAAAAAGAAAAAAAGATGAAAAACATTAGTAAAATCTAAAGTAAAATCTTTTTAAGCTAACTCTGAAACTGTCTAAGATGTTTTGCGCTCTCTTATGTGTTTTCAAATATAGAATGAAATTACATATTGGCTTTGAACATAAAACTACCGGCGTCAGATTGTTAAATTGTTATTTGAATTAGGAACGGAGCATGAAAATGGATTTGATGATGCTTGTCATTGATAAGATTAGAGAACGTTGTTTTTTCAAATTCAATTGCTCATACAACTAATAATACTTTTACAGTAGCTGCTGCAGTCGGATTTCCATACGGAATAATCGATTCGAAAAGCGCGACGATTTGATATTTGATGGTGTAACGAAAGAAATCGAGCGGATCCGTAGGAAAGACGGAGAGGAGTACTGGAAAGCCAGTACGCGCGAAGTCGCGGCGTCGAGGAAAAGCTGGCGTGTTTCGTGCGGCTCGGATAGGCGGCGGATGCACGTGTGTGCCGAGTGCGCAGCCGCAGCGCAAAAGCCTATATCCTGACTGCGGCTGCTCCATTGTCTCGTAGAAATCTCTCTCGCATCTGCGTTCCCTCCTGCACGTGCATGCCGCGACGACCGAGTGTGGGAGAAGCCCCGACCCTGACCGACGTAGAGCTAGCGCCGCCCTCAGCTACCTCAGCATCGACCGTTGCGATCTCGCGCGCTCTGGCCCTCCTTACCTATTTCCATATTTCCCGGACCGAGTGAGAGAATGCTGTAAGCCTCGTCTCTGCGCTCTTCTCGTACCATTTTTACCCTTTTCAATTATCTTGCTCTCTCAAATCTATGCATATAACCTTATTTTATCGTTGGCCCTTTTTATCCTTGTTTTCATGAGCCGCCTACTACCAATTGATCGCCAGTTGGCAATCTGATTATTCTATATGATTATGTTATATTCTGCTCGATGATACAATTGATCACTTGCAGCGCAATTATCGTAAGGATAAATTCTTTCGACATGACCACGTGCTTTCGCACGTCACTCACTCGGTTATTGTCGTCAAAATCATTGGAAAACTATTTTGCAACAAAGGTGTCTGCTTGGAACGATGAAACGTATTACACTGTATTGCAGAACTCATGACATTTTCAGCATGCTGGAGAACTTATTTTATTGTGCAATGTGATGTATCGACAACTGTGCATTGATTTTATGACATTTTTCAAGTACATTTTTGATTCGCAATTTCATTAAAAAAGAAATCAAAAACGAAATTAAAAACGAAATTGTACGAAGCATTTTGCTGAAGAAGCCGTAACGTATAGATTATTATTATAATAGGTGATGCCAAAACTTGTTGCGACTAATTGTATCTAAATAAAAGCAAATCTTGGCCCTAAGGCCAATTCGATTTTAGAAAAAATTTACCTCAAGAGGACACTTTGTAAGTAAGAAATTAGTGGGAAAAAAATAAAGAATATTCAGTGAGGAAACTTGGCCAACTACATGTTAAAGTTAGTAAACTGATGCAGAAGAACAAGTTAAAGTAAGAATATAGCTTATTAATTCAATTGACCCATACAGTTAATGCAAAGTTCACGCTCATTCCACAGTGCCTTGGAGGTTCGCTGATGCATACAGAAATGTTACGCGAACGCCAGACAAAGTTTTCTCATTTAACGAGTTGTTGAACGACCTCTGCTGATTTATGTCATTATAATTGTCTACTGATGCTCTTCATTTGTGACGGTTGCCATTGCGTTAATAATTAATTCCAGGTGAATAATAGTTTGCCAGATCCGCAGCTTTTTACAATCGCCATTTGGCTTGTCAAGATGAACTTTTTATATTGCCTAGATTTTTGAAACACCAATAATTAAAAAACCGAATTGTTTGACCCACATTTTCCAGTAATAAACAAATTACTGATAAGGGTAGCAGCAATCGTAGTAGAGTGCGCGCTTTTCATCGGCTGGAAAACACAGCTTACCTGTAGATATAGGACTATACATACATATGTAAATGAAGGAAAAAAATCAATAACGGCGCGCATCATATTGGTATCTCAGGAATACAAGGATGTACATCGTTACTGTACTCAGCGGATGACAAAATAACAGCTTAGTCTTGCTTAAAAATTTATATATTTCAAAATCTTACATCACGCATACGCTCGAGTGATATTTTTACACTCTTTCAGTGAAATCCAAAATTCCGAAAAGACGCCCTATATTCCAGTTTTACAGCGTTCATTTTCATCTCTTTTTCTCGTACGACCTTGTCGAGTTTTACGAAGGACTGCAAGTTTACCACGTTACATACACGCACCTTATATTTTCTTGTTAGTGTGTGAAAATAAAAAAGGGAACGAGGAAATACAGTACGTTCTGAATGACATATTGGAGACAATAGGCTGTTCCCTCGGTGTTCCTCAGGTTGGTCGGGCCCTGCATTAAGGTTGACAATAGATATAGTCGCAAGAATAGAACATACACACACGCAAAGAGAGAGTGAGAGAGACAGATACAACCTAAAAAAAAAGTGGCAAGTTGAAAGACTACGTGAGAAGATTGAAAAAAGAGAGTTGGAGGAGTGAAGGGGACAGGGAACAGAGAAGTTCGTGAGGGATATAAGGTAGAAAAAAGTGTCCCCAGGAAGAAATGAATTTTATCGGTCCGTTGATTTCGATTTCCATGACAATAGTTTTGATCATACAACTTCTTCTCACTTTTCCGTCCCAGAAAATCTCGGGATTTTGCTGGATTTTAGGCACTGCTTGGCAAGTTTCTCGTAAGTTCGCCAACTGGAAAGGTCAGTTGAAACTGATAATTGATGCAGGTGGTGTGCAGAAAAAGCCAAGTTACACAGACGCGTGCGCGCGTCATAGAGATAGATCGAGATTCGAGGGGTTGGTTGAGCAGGCAAGCAAACTGGCTGGCGGTAGGTGGTGGGGGGAGGTGGGGGAATGGGGTGTCTGTCGAGAGAGAGAGAGAGAGAGAGAGAGAGAGAGAGAGAGAGAGGCGCAGCGCGCGCGAGAGTAGTGCCGGCCGGCGGCAGAGGCAGAGACAACTCAGTCGTTTGCAGTCTCCCGAGTCAAACGGATCGTTTGGCATCAAGGAGCAACATACGCAAACATCTTGTATTTCACTGTTCATCGATATAGTTGTACCAAGCCTATACATGACAATGGCGCGGCTACCTATCGTCACGGGCCTCGCTCTTCTCGCACTCATACGTGAGTCTTCATTTCTATCTCGCAATGCACATACGTAGCGTAGAGCCCTTTTCATTCCTATATACAACGTACTTTGCTCTCTATAGCGCGCATAACTGTAATTTCAACATTTGAAGTTCGGTTTTCACTCGCGGTCGTTGCGCTCAACGCCTTCGCGAAAAGCGAATATCGAACATCCATTCCAGCGTCGCAAATTTGAATAACTTATTTTCGCCTCAAAAATGTATCGAGCTACTAACGATTTCCAATAACGTGCTTATCCTTGGCGTCCTGTAATATTGGTTCTGCGATATATCGTCACAGTCAAGTTACTAGCCGCGAGTGTTATTAACGAATTCGTGAAAGTGATTTTGTGAAATATCGAAAGTAAAAGGAAGTCTAGTAGCGTTGGAGAAAAGTGCAATGTGAAGCGAGGCATAAAAGTCTCAAACATGAATCGCTCATTGTTCTCTCTTGTTGGCGGGAATTCCCCGAAAAAAAAAGAAGGATAAACAGATATGGGATCGGGATAGGAAGTAACGCGAAGCGCCGCGTGATCCTTCCACAGCCGTAGGGCGCGTTTACGTAATTGGCCTGGAAGTTCCATTTGTAAGTAGCCATACAGGGTTTTCTGGCCAGCTCTTTGAATGACAACTCTATTTACAAACGCTTGGGAATATTTCCTAATAAATCGTTCGCGCAACGATGACAAACACGCGCGCAACGCTATGCTGCCTGTATAAATCCAAGAGGTCACTTTTAACTCACACACACTGGACTCTCGTGTGCGCGGCACGTATACTCGCGTCAATATTCGTCCGAGCCGGGAATGGCATTGCGCACTATCTCACCTGCACGCCCACCCGACCCCTCCGCCCCTGTCATTTTTCGACTTTTCCAACGATCGCGACGCGATTCTTTATGAACGTTACATACTTTATCGCGTCGTGCACCAACATATGAAAACGTAGGCACGTTTGCCATATGTGCGGAACACGAGTGCACATTGAAAATCTAATGAAGAATATATGTAGAAAATTGCGTATTGATAGTGCTAACGAAACAATTTTCATCCATAAAGAGATGGATGTTTATAAAAATATGTTGTTTACTTCGGCAATTTCGCACAGATGACCGATGCGAAGAGTTGAGCTGGAAAAGAAAGGCGCGCGACTATGATAGCTGCACGATGGATGGGATCGAGCTAGAGAGGAGGAATATTCGCGAGGAAGGAAACGTTTAATTTGATCGGTTAGCGTGGCGGAGGCAACGGGCGGGCGCGTATGTAGAGATAGTCACCTCTCGCGCAACAATAAAAAAACATAACGCGATCATAAAAGCCCGCTTATACACGGTCAGGCCCCCACCTACTGCCCTCGCTCTTATGCACGTATATAAATGTATGACGCTCGAGCAAAGTAAAGAGCAACGACGCGCCGGTGGCCAATTTTTTTTTTTCAACACCGATTCGCTTGCAGCTCACGCCGAGTTTTCATGCCGTTTTCATACCGACGTCTCGCGGATACACGCGAAAAATTAACGAAAGTGGTTCGCGCACGCAACGCGCATTGTTGTTCGCACAGATGCTAACGACGCGTTACATGCTGCACGCCATACGGGTATCGTTCGTTTCGAAGCAGAGACAGTGCCTCGCTCGCTCTCACGCCGTTAATTCGCCATCGAATATTTTCATTGGGCGAGCCTGCGCGCGTTCGTTTTCTATTTCAAGCAAATTTTCATCGCGTGAATCACGGCTCGCTTGGTCGCCCTTTGCAAAAGTTGTAATTTTTTTTTTCAAACGTCACGTTGAATTTCATCGTCGACTAATCGCATTAAAGTTTATCAACTGAAGAAACAGTTTGGAATTCAGCTTTTTGCTGCGATCCAATAATTGAAGCTTGCGCAAAGTAAACTATTAAATATTAGTAAGGCCACGGAGAATTTCTCCTATCCGTTTACTTTTCTTATTTCATTTATGTCGACATGGCCATAAAGTCACATTATCAGTAATTGTTAGATTTGAAATAAACGTTTGGCAAACAGTGTTCGTCGTATTTTTCTGTCTTTTATGGTATCGTCTTGATGCTAGCAATACGATGTTTTTAGTAAGCTTAAAATGATTTGGCGCGTATCGAGACAAATCTGCTGCCGTGAGTATTGTCCAACTGGCACTAGAGTGCAGTGTGCAATAAAGACTGAATTGAATGACTCGTGAGCAGCTAATGCCTGAAAAAGTTTTTCTGCCGATTCTGTGAGTCATTTCTTAAGAATTAACTTTCGCGAACGTGGATGTTAATCCGATCAATTAGCAGAGCTGGATTCCACAAGCCCTTATACCTCCGAGGAAAAGAAAACTGATCAGTCTAGCGACGAGGCACCGTTGCTGCGGAGCTCGATATTACGGCTACTTATAGTCGATTAATCAATTCATAATCTAGCTATATCGGCAACGGCACAAATAGGTGTGCAATTTCTCAAACTTGCATATTGCCGATTCGAACAAAGCTTGGGAATCACTGTTAAACTTGAAGTATGCCCGGGAGCCCGTCCAAATTTTAATTAGGAACAATCGAGCGAGAGCGACGATCACGTCACCAACGCGAATTTTCAGTATACACTTGGTCTTAACGAAGGCGTGGCTCTGAAGCGCCTAACGCTATTGAAGTGTTGCGTGTAAGCAAAAAAAACGACTGCTTTATATGAAGCCAATGCCGGAACATTATGCAATTATGTTGATTATAATCTTCGTTATTACTTGGGACATCGCGCCTTTTAATTAATTTGCAGATTGCAGAGTGCCGTCTCGGGATGTTTCGCTTTAAAAGACCAGTGACAAATAAATAAAATCGGAATACCGCGTGACAAAATTTAATTGCAAACCTGCAAAACAGCATTTGAAAATGCGGAAAGAAAACGTGTGCAATTGGCGTTTCTCTTAAAAAAAAACAAAAAACAAAAAAAAATGGAGAACGGTAGATTTGCTTTAAAACGCTGCGAAAGCAGGTAGGCCCGATCAATGCTCGCTGCTCGCGACTGTGACGTGTGGCGCGTGCGCGCGCGCGCGCACGTGCCATTCAAAATTCTCGTATTCGGCTGCGAAAAACCGAGGCGGCAAGACTGGGAAACGTAGACCGAAGATGCAGCGGTGCAACGAGCGAGAAGGACGCGCGCAGTCGGAGGAAGAGTCGGACGGAAAAGCGAAGATGGGGAGAGGGCAGCGAGAGAAAGCTTGAAAAAAGCTCGAATAGCACGCAGCAGCAGCAGCAGCAGCAGCAGCAGCAGCAGCAGCCTCCGGCGCGGCGCACGGCAAGACAATCGATGCGGCGTGGCGGCGGTCCGCGCGCTGATCGATCGCTCGACTGCTGCACGCTAGACTACGCGTAACCCTGAAAGCTCGCTCGCGCGCGCTCTCGTCCCACCTGCATCTCTGCGACGCGGCGGGCGCTGGCGGCTCGTTCCGCCAGAGTATCGGCTACCTTGCAAACGGCTTATTAATAGCACCGAGCAAATGGCAAATTCAACATAGCCGCTCGGCAATCTGGACCTTTCTCTTTGTGCACGCCAGGTTAGTTCTGCTGCAGCATCAGCGCCAGTAACACTGGCCGCAAGCTCGGCGAATATCGAATGCACGCGAGCCGCCCCGCCGAACGCACCAACCCGAAACTCGCCTCTGCTGGTTGGCCTGCGCGCACCGGCGGCGGCTTTTCTCTCGCTGTGCCTGCGTTTGATCGCAGCTTCAGCGATGCCACGGCGCTTCTACCGACTGGCGTGTGTCGCTGCCAAACCTTTATTTTAGTCCGTGCGCGAGTGCATTAAACGATGTATTGCTTTCCAGCTTGTTGGACTTGCTCACGCTCCGTTTCCGTCTATTGATTTCTCCACGAATAAAGTGCGCAACCATAGTTCGTTCATTTTCACCAATCTAACCAAGCTCACGCGCCGACAGTTCCGCCCGCGTAACCTAATGCCCAACTCGTCGGAACTTTGCAACATTTTAGTATGGCCTTGACCTCGAGTAGACAGTCTTCTGGAATATTCTAATATTTTCGAAATGATTGATCTGTTGATATTTCAAAGGGAAACGGACCAGCTAAATCGATTATTTCCGATAACGAGGTACGTCTATGAGAACACTCGCCAAGAGAAAAATCGATTAGGCTCGATTCGTCGCCGGTGATCCGGCACTGTGGACGACGAGCAAAGCAGCAAGGGCAAAGAGCGAGGGAAGAGATAAAAAAAAAACCGTCGGTTCAAGTGAAATCGAGCCGTGATTTCCCAGACGTACACGAGCAGCAGCAGTAGCGGCGGCACGCGAAGTCTGCGCGCGGATAGATGGGCGTAGGAAGTGAAAAGAGGAGAGAGAGAGGGAAAAAGTAGGGTAGCTCGCGCGACGCGCGAGCAGGCAGCGTCGAGTGAGTCGTGGTCGCGTCTCGCGACGCTCGCTGGCAATGCAGCAGCAGCGGCGGAGAAGAAATGCGCGCTCCAAGGGGCCATCCACCCTTCGCGCGAATTCGCACACGCGGAGGAGAGACGATCGATTGCGCTCCAGTCAATTAAGGCTTCTTTCCGCGCGTGCATATCGCAGCAACTGGCGCTCGCAGGCCTCGCCTCCATGCCGCTCTATGCCGTTGACTCTTTCGCGTAGATGCCCGTCGGCGCTGCCTGCTCGGCTAGGCGAGTGCGCTTATTTTAGCCGATCTTTTTTTTTTTCTACTCCCGCTCTTCCAGCCACAAGCCAGTTATTGTCTCGCGATACTTTACGCTTGCCCACTCTTGCCTATGTTTTTTCTGTCTGCTCACGATTACTACTTCCGATGATAAAATATTAATGCTTCTTTCATTTTGGCTCGAGTGCTCGGCATTCAAGCCGAAAATACGCGCTGAATGATTGAACGCCGATTCAATGAAACCATTGAGCACGAAGAGTCGTTTTCGGGCCCTTCTCTTTCTTTCTACGCGCGCATACGTGCTATTGCATTACGGAATAAAGGTTCGATTGTGTACTTTATTTTCAATGATCA